AGTGACATTTTTACGAACAACTTCCGAACCGAACACTCACCGCAAGTTACCATGCTATTCACGCGCATGGGGTTGGGGCAGAGCTACCTTGAGAGCACCCTCGGCCACTCTACTGTGCCGCAATAAACTCCCCGCAATGTTGTTGTCGACGGCAGAGGCAGCTAACACGCCGCAGACGTATGCAGGATGATCCCGCACCACATCTTTCAGCCAACAAAAGCCAGCCCCCGTGGCGCCCTCCTCGTTTGTGTCCGCGTAGAGGCTATCCGATCTCGCGCGTCTGTGGGGCTCGGTATCGGGGCTGGGGATGCGTGGCGCCACGAGAGCATTAGCCCAACGCTGCATCCCCTCGAGCACAATGTAGTACAGCGAACTGAACTCCGTGCTGATTGCTCCAGCAATCAACTCTGCGCTCTTGTAGGTTGGGGGTTGCACTCGCAGGGTGGGGCTGTACAGTGTGAAAGAGACACACAGAGCCAATACTTTATGGTGAGTAGGTAACGATTTTGCGGATACGGATATGGAATGTGTGGGACTGAACGGACACTCACCCCTCATTGTCGGAGTGGAAGTTGTCCATGGCATTGTCTCAAGCACTCGCCCTGTCTCATCTGCCGATGCGCCCTCCGCCGTCGCCGCACGCGGACCAAGCGTTACCGGCTCAGGCGTATCTGTGCCAGTAAGGGCAGAATGGAACACATCCATATAGCCCCACCACGGCTTCATCACGTTTTGCTTGGCCTCCCATGTCCTGGCCCGCCAGTCCTGTTCCAACAGAATCCACTGCGCCTCCATCTCTTGGCCACTGCGGGGCCACCCTCGGTCCAGTTCCCGCACGTGCCTGGCAAGGCGCTGCCAGTATCGCGACCCGCGCTTACCAAGCTGCCATTTCAGTTTTTCCAGAGCGAACCAGAGAGCGGCCGTGAGGACAACGTTGAACTCTGCGCACCAATGCCCCGCGCCGGGCTTACCCGAGCCTTCCGTGACCCGCCCCCTACCCGCGGGCGCTGCCCCTCCACGCTGCCGTGCACGGCGGCTCGTACGGGTGCTTGATGCCGCGCGTCGTCTCTGAACCCTATTAGACGATCGCCCTGTATTGCCACCGCTAGCTGCAGTGACCTCCACGACTTCATCGTCGACCACTTCGGTGTCGGCGACCGTGCTCGCGCTCGTGGAATCGAAGCCTTGCGTTGTCCTGTGAGCATCCACCCCGTCGTCAGTTGCGAACGACTCCACCATCGCCCTACGCTTTGTGCGACAGGAGTATGCGACGATTACAGTAGCCTGCGCGCGTTTGGGCCTCTCGCGAGCCCCCAATGTGAGCATCTCATTCATATGCCTAATGTAAGGGATTTCTCCGACGTCCCCCACCATGCAGTGTACCTCCAGCACGGCCTCCTTAACCCTCCCCGCCATGAGCGCCAGCAGTAGTGAGACTCAGTTCCTCGATGAGCCTTGAAGGAGCTGCGAGAATGTGTAAAAGATGCTTAATCGTGGCCAAATAATTGATGCTCGCAGGGCCCAAATTCCTGCGCGACTGGTAGTGTGGAGACACCGTGATGGTCATTGACGTGCGGTCCCGCAACTTTGGGTGGGGTTTGCGATCATAACATTCCCCCACGCGGCGACATGCTTGACGTGCAGGAAAATCGTTGGCGGAACTACCCAACCACTCCACAAACCAGCCCCATGCTCAACAGGACCCGAGCCTCCTCGGCATGGGTTGGGCAGATGCGGATTGCAAGAATTTACCCCTTCTGGAGGCGCATACAAAGCAAATGTAGTGGTCACGATGAGCTATTGGTCTGGGTATCCGGATTGCGGTTTCCCGCCTGGGCTGAGCGAAACACTTGCCGTGGCGTCTCTGAACCCCCGGTTGTGGGGTGTGACCCAGCCAATCGCTATACAGTACACGACTGCGGGTACTCACCCTAACCGTGAATTGTATAGTGGACCATTTTGTATCCTTCAAGCACCCACCCCAAAAGAGGTTCAAGATCTAGGCACCTTCCATCATTAGCTCGAACTCGGAGCTCAAGGTATAGAAATCCTTGCCGTTGAAAGGAAAGGATGTCTGCAGCTTCACGATGTTTGCAAACCATGCTTGCAATGGAAGAATGTTGTTTGGCGCATTGTTTCTTGCAGATGGTGTTCCTGGCTGTCGCAGTGGCAGGAAGTTGAACGAGCCTGGCTACGACTTAATGAGATGGTTTCTGAGCGGGCTGCTGATTGCCCCTTGCAAATGAGGAATTGCCAAGATTCATGGGCACTACGCTGTTATTGCTGTTTACTGACTAAGCAGGTGCTGAAGGGTGCTCATAGAGTGACATGAAGGAGAATGTTTTCTCCGCAAAGTCTGGGTCAATGCTTACTTGACTTGTGGGTGCCCTTGCGCCTTCAATCGCAGCCGCCAATGTCTGCACCTCAGAGACTACAGGTGCATATGCTTCGATGCCGGGGGATCCAGAGGAGGACCCCACGTCCTTAGTTGGTGGCATATCTTGTCTTGTACTGCTTGATAATCAAAGGCGTTTACGACGAGCAAGTGTCTAGTAACGGTAGCGTTAGAAACTCAACCGATGGAGTTTGTGACGGAAACCTATTTTCCGACTAGCTCTCATACCTTATTGGGCAGAGACCAGCCCAGGGATCTTCGGCAGAAACTAGGTCCTTGTATAGTGCTTGTAGCATAGCGGAGGGAAAATTCCTACGAAGTTGCACCAGAATCAGAAACGCGCATAACCAAAATGAGCCTCACTGAAACGCGCTTCAAACACTAGAACCGCACAGTATCGTGTGATTTTGACCTAACTTGATTCTGATCCTGGTTTGTAGGAATTCGTCCTTAGTTGAATCCTTGCACTTGTATTTGAGAACAACTGATTGATTAGAAGATATAGTAGCGGTTGTGTCATTGACGTGCATATCGCCACGTTATTCTACCAGAGTGGTTACTGTCTAGTTGTAGTCTCTTGTGACCCCAGTTTAGCTGACACGACTCACAAGTGACGACGACTACTATTGCACAGTTGACTCAACTATCCTCGGTGCTGCTCTGCACACATGCTTTTAAGTATAGTATTCAATACTCTTAAAGGTTTCCTCATTTCCAACACGAAATAGTGATGGGTATCTAGTGTTGGATTTCCTCCTTTTTTTTTTACGGCCTTGCATGTTAGACACTGGCTTCCGATACCTCTTACCAAGTAATGAGGAATGGATATAGTAGTGGCCATTTCACAAAGCTGCTAACCCGTACAGGCAACACCAAACAAGAGTCGACGGAATCGTTTTAGGGTTGTGGAGCATCTTTGCTCGATTGCAATTTTATTAACATTTTTTCGTGCCACATTCTAAAATCATGTATAACCGTGTCATTTTTATGCGTACATTGGGATCATGTCACTCTAATACAATGCAATTACCTTACGAGTGCAGTTGTGCATAATGTGCTATTTCGTTTGTATACGTCCCTATTTCTCAGTACTGTACATCGTTTGTACAACTAATATTCTAGGTGAAGGTGTAAGGATTTCATGAATCCTTACTGAGGCTTGCCGCATAGAGTACCGTGTACAGTTCGCATCCGCAATCTCGGCCCTCAAGTCTCGCGTCAGACCAAGTCCGCAGACCTACTGGGCCCCGAACGTGTTACCGAGGCACCCCGGACTCAATTTGACCTCGTCGCCCTCGGGACTCTCGAGCCCTTGACTGGTCCAGCTCTCGAGGTTCAACTTGGTCAACTCGCACTGTATAAGCCCTAGGTCCTCATTTGTATGAACACATTATGTAGTCACGCTCCCCTATAGAATTTTGCACTATACTCTAGATTAATTTATAACAGCTGGTATCAGAGCCACGATTCTGCCCATCTAGGTTCCTATATGGGAGCAGTCCCTATCGGGGAAGGGGGCGGAAGGATGCTGGTGGTGTAGCGCTTCCAATGCCGCCGGATCCTGTCCGATGGACGGCTGAAATTAGCCGGTCCTCCCCTTCCCAGGGCGTAGATGGAAATAATTTCCGTCGAAGAGATGAGGACGTTTTTGCCGGAGTTTTCGCGTAGGTTCGCTATTGTTCGTAAATTTTGGGAGGTTCTAGCGGCGTTTTTGGATTGGTTTCCAAGAATTGTGATGATTCGTCAGGAGAAGACAAGTGCACGGGAATCCTCGGGTGGCCGGGTGATGGTCGTCAGGAGCGCGAGAATGGGTGAAAATGGCGGGACGTACGGCGATGTACGTCTGGTGTGCCATGTAGCTGCATGATGAAGTGCAGTTGCATCGCTGGCATCGGCGTTTCCGGCAGGCTAGTTGCAGGGGATGGACGGGACTTCAGAGACTATTTCGGCAAGGGGCGGCTGCGATTATTTTGGACTGCCACGATCGCACACTCACACGAGTGGGTGAGCCACACAGCAGTAGCACAAGACTTACTACCTCGGTTGTTCTGCATGGGCTGTCTCATATGGAGGTGATGGAGCTGTTCTTGAAGATTTCAGCGAGGGCGACTCCCTAAGTTGGGGAGGCATTTTTGTGTAGCAGCGTTCTTACCCCAACGTTGAACAGAAATGGATACCACCACCTAAGGGTGTGTATTAAGTGTTTTCCACTGGGGCCCCGCAAGCATCAAACCATCAAGAGCTGAAGCAGTTGAAGAAGTACGACTGGGAGAAGCTGGATTTTAGTTAAACGTCAGGCAGCATACGGATCCCCTACTAACAGAGCTTCGTTGCCAGAATATCACCATTCCCACCAAGTTGTAGTGTCGACTATGGGTCGTCCACACTTGGCGAAAGGGGAGTGAACCTGCAATCTATACTGTGCTGAGGGGTGTCCCTGGAATTTATGGAGTTACCATTGCAACGGAGCTGAGGGTTTCATCTGGCGCAGCAGAAGGAGTTTCCGGGTTTTGCGGGCGTAAGATTTCGAATGTCTCACCCTGGTACGTCAGGAGGCAGGAGGTATCCAGGGGTCTTGCGGGTGTTGTGTGATGTCATCATATGCTATCACATTCTGTCTGCCTCTCATCTCTTGTTTCAATTCGTATGTATGGTTTGACTGTGTGTGAAAGAATTTGTGTGTGGTGTGTTCTGGAGTTTGGGAATGTGTTTTGTGTTATTCTGTCTGAGCAGGTATTTGTGATGATAGATCTTGAGAAGATCTTTCCGACGCAACAAGAATCGCTTCAATCGGAGCAAGAATGCGAAAGCTATGAAGATTCAAAGTTCATGAGCTTGCGTTACAATTGCGGCGGTTACAAAGTGAAGTTGTGGGGTGACTTTATATGGAGTTGGGACCTTTGGGGTTGGGGAAACTTGTCACTCTACTGTAACAGCTGCAAATTGGTTGGGAACAACCAAGCTAGGTTGGCAAGGGTGGCCAACTTGGATGGATTGGTTGGGAAGGGACAAATGTCAAAGTTTGGGTTCCTATAGGGAGGGAATCTTTGTGCTTATGGGGTTTCCTTGGTTGGGGACTCTCTTGGGACCTCCCCTCTCATCCCTCTCTTCCTATCCCAACCTTTCTCTTGCTCCTTCTAATTCCTTGTGAGATTCTTGAACTTTGATTGAACTCTTGAGATTGAGTTAAGTTCTCCTCCTACAGCTTACCCCCTAGTGCGTCGAAAGCCATAGCGTCGCGAATACTTCATCAATCAACGTGATTCAAATTGGGAACGGTAGCTGAGATCAAGAGCTACAACATATCCAAGTTTCGCGACATTCCAACGGCTAGTGTTTTGTCGACGTCGTTTCTTGTGAAGACGACTTTTCTGTCCAGAATTTCGGATTTATATTTTGAGTAATTCTAGCTCCTAAGTTCACCTAGACTCTGTCCTTAATCCTAACAAGTGGTATCAGAGCGATATTAAGGACATTGAGAGGAGTCTACAGAAGTGTGAAGACCCTTCTAGACCCACCATGGCCTGTGGGTGTGCCTAAGTGGTGTTCTAAAGGTTGGATGTGTCTTCCGCTAAGGGGAAACTCTGCCGAAATTTCGTGGACGCCGACACTTGTGAAAATATCGAGGGAGCTGAGTGTGGACAGCAAAGGGGAGCTGAAATTCGTCATTTCTCAAGGAGAAGATGAATGAGAGAGGAGGAGATGCTAATGGAAGAGGAGCTGTAGCTGAGAAGACAAGTGAGCCGCCGCCATCAAAAGTTGAAGCTTTGGATGGCTCCAACTATGAGGAATGGAGCGGACGGATGAGGAGTGCCTTCAAACGCTACAAGCTCCTGAAGATTGCTGTTGGGGAAGAGAAGATGCCGGAAGAAGGCGAAGCACGCGAACGGTGGATTGAGAAAAGCGCGGTGCTTTTCGACCTCATCCTTCAATCGGTCAACAAGGAGATGTTCGAGCACATCAAGGATCTTGTGGAAGCGGATGATTCGGGTCCAAGGGCGTGGAAACTACTACGCGATGTGATTCAGCCCAACACTCTCCCGATGGTGATCGTGCTCGAGAAGGAACTTGCTGCCATCTCCATGCGACCAGGGGACGATGTGAAGCCGGTCCTTGACAAGATCAAGGACACCTATGCAAGGATGGCAGCAGCGGGCAGCAGTGTATCTCAGCTGCAGCAGTGCACCAAGATCATCTCGGTGTTGGACAACTCGTGGGATAACCTCATCCCCACCCTCAACTCTCAGCAAGATCAATGGACACCTGAGTGGCTAAGGCAGCAGATTCTGCAGGAGGACTTCCGCAGACGCCATGTGGGAGGCGGTGCTGCCACTAAGACTGCTGAGGGGTATGGAGCTGCAGGGCGCGGCAGAGGAAGAGGGGGTTGGAAAGGCCGAGGCCGTGGGAGGAGCTTTGGCAGAGGTAGAGGCCGAGGTGACTATAATGAGGGGCATGGAAGCTCCAGTGGCAGGGGGAGCACCAGAATGGAGGGCACCTGCTGGTACTGCAAGAAGATCGGGCATCCTTGGTTCAAGTGCTTCAGCAGGCCGGAGGGATGGTCACCTCCAGGCATGAAGCCGCCAAGTGGTGAACGCGCACAAGGTGGCGCTGTGCAAGGCTCAGGTGCACAAGGTGAAGGTGCACAAGGTAACGCCTATCCTGGGATGTATCTTATGGTTGAGGATGTGCATGGGCATGAGGGTGATGTGGGATCTGTGGGAAAGGTTGTGACGCACCCTCTCACGCACTGGGTGATTGATTCAGGTTGCACCAGTCACATGACCCCACGGGCAGATTTGCTTGATGAGGTAAAACCCCCTGGGAAGATTAAGTATGTGGCAGCAGCGTCAGGTGCTTTGCTCCCCGTGATTGGTGTTGGGAATGCCAAGGTTAAGGGAGCTAATGGGGAGCTTGTGGGGCTTGGGAATGTTCTGCTGGTTAAAGGCTTGTCTGCTAACCTTCTCTCTGTGCGGCGACTGCAGAAGAGTAAGGCCGAAGTGACCTTTGGACCAACCAGCTGCCGTGCTAAGCTTGGGAAGAAGGTGCTGTGGAGTCTGGAAGAGGAGACCAGCTGCATCAAGGACCTGTGGCAGCTGCCCATCATCCCTTGGAATGGGAAGACTCCAACAGCAGTAGAGCAGCAGCAGCAGCAGCAGCATGAGTCTCCATCTCGAGTTCCACACCCGCCTGAGCGTCCTAGGAGGGATGTGCGCCCTCCAGTGAGGCTGACCTATGGGGGAAGAGGCAGGCCGAATGTGGTGCAGGCTGGGAGTGTGGTTGAGCAGATTGAGGAAGATGAGATCGCTCACTGCTACTGGGCACCAATCCCTGAGCCCAAGACTCGAGAGGAGGCCTTGAATGGACCAAATGGGGAGAAGTGGAAGGCGAGTGAGGATGAGGAGTTCGGGTCCCTAATTGAGAACGAGACATGGGACCTGTGTGACTTGCCTCCTGGAAAGAAGGCAATCACTTCCAAGATGATCTACAGGCACAAGTATGGACCTGAAGGGGAGCTGACCCGCTACAAGTCTAGGCTTGTGGCACGGGGGTTTCAGCAGACAAAGGGGAAGGACTATGATGAGGTGTTTGCTCCTGTGGGGAAAGGAACAACACTGAGGGTGCTGTTGGCGATAGCTGCACTCCTGGGATGGAAGATACGGCAGATGGACATTGTGACTGCCTTTCTGAATGGGATCATTCTGGAGGAGGTGTACATGAAACAGCCAGAGGGGCTGGATGACGGGAGCGGCAGGGTCTGCAGGCTGAAGAAGGCCATCTATGGCCTTAAGCAGGCGCCTCGTGCATGGTATCACAAGTTGGAGGAGGCGCTGTTGGCTGGGGGTTTCAAGAAGAGTGAGTGTGACCCCAGCCTGTTCCTGCTGCAGGAGAAGGATGAAATCCTCATGCTCTTGGTGTATGTGGATGATATCCTTCTCTTTTCTGCATCCACTGCTTTGCTGGACAGCGCAGAGCAGATGCTGGAGATGCAGTTCAAGTGCTCCAAGATGGGTGAGGTGAAGTACTACTTGGGGATGCACGTGGAGAGAGATGTGGAAAAGGGTGTGCTGAGGTTGCACCAGAGGAAGTACTGTGAGGGGCTGGCTGAGAAGTATGGGCTGCAAGATGGGGGAAAGCCAGCAACACCACTACCTTCAGGGTTTACTGTGGAGCCATGTGCTGATGAGGAGGTAGTGGGTGAGAGTGACAGGAAGCTGTTTCATTCGATGGTTGGGTCGCTGAATTATGCTGCAAATCATACACGGCCTGACATTGCATTTTCTACATCACGGTTGGCTAGTGTGGTCTCACGCCCTAGTCATGAGCAGCTGGAAGCGGCCAAGAGGTTGGTCCGCTATGTGAGCGCTACGGCATCAGTGGGATTGGAGTACAGTGGAGTGAGGCAGCGGTTGCAGAGAGGTGCTGCAGATGTGAAGAGTGGAGAGATGCTCTTGAGTTGCTATACTGACGCTAGCTTCAACTCAGTGAAAGCGGATGGCACCAGCATTGGGGGTTATGTGTGCTTGCTAGGAGGTGGTGCTGTGAGCTGGCGCAGCAAGAAGCAGAATGAGGTGGGATTGTCTTCATGTGAGACTGAGTACATGGCCTTACACCATGGGGCCAAGGAAGTGGTATGGCTGAGGCGTTTGTTGGAGGAGTTGGGAGTTGGTCAGGAGGAGCCGACAGTTGTGTTCTGTGACAATGAGTCTGCAGTGAAGCTGGCCAAGAATGCTTGTCTGCATGGGCTGACAAAACACATAAGGCCTAAGTGGCATTGGGTGAGGAGAATCCTTGATAAGGAGGTGCGGCTGGAGATAGTGAAGACCCATCAGCAGGCAGCAGATATTTTCACTAAGCGTCTTGCGGAGGCGGATCATTGGAAGGGCATGAAGCTTGCTGGGATGAGTGTGCATTGAGTATGCATGCTTGAGATGTGGTATGGTCGATGATGGTTGGCAGCCAGAGGGGGAGATTGTTGTGTGATGTCATCATATGCTATCACATTCTGTCTGCCTCTCATCTCTTGTTTCAATTCGTATGTATGGTTTGACTGTGTGTGAAAGAATTTGTGTGTGGTGTGTTCTGGAGTTTGGGAATGTGTTTTGTGTTATTCTGTCTGAGCAGGTATTTGTGATGATAGATCTTGAGAAGATCTTTCCGACGCAACAAGAATCGCTTCAATCGGAGCAAGAATGCGAAAGCTATGAAGATTCAAAGTTCATGAGCTTGCGTTACAATTGCGGCGGTTACAAAGTGAAGTTGTGGGGTGACTTTATATGGAGTTGGGACCTTTGGGGTTGGGGAAACTTGTCACTCTACTGTAACAGCTGCAAATTGGTTGGGAACAACCAAGCTAGGTTGGCAAGGGTGGCCAACTTGGATGGATTGGTTGGGAAGGGACAAATGTCAAAGTTTGGGTTCCTATAGGGAGGGAATCTTTGTGCTTATGGGGTTTCCTTGGTTGGGGACTCTCTTGGGACCTCCCCTCTCATCCCTCTCTTCCTATCCCAACCTTTCTCTTGCTCCTTCTAATTCCTTGTGAGATTCTTGAACTTTGATTGAACTCTTGAGATTGAGTTAAGTTCTCCTCCTACAGCTTACCCCCTAGTGCGTCGAAAGCCATAGCGTCGCGAATACTTCATCAATCAACGTGATTCAAATTGGGAACGGTAGCTGAGATCAAGAGCTACAACATATCCAAGTTTCGCGACATTCCAACGGCTAGTGTTTTGTCGACGTCGTTTCTTGTGAAGACGACTTTTCTGTCCAGAATTTCGGATTTATATTTTGAGTAATTCTAGCTCCTAAGTTCACCTAGACTCTGTCCTTAATCCTAACAGCGGGGACTTCTTTAGTCCAGCCAAATTTGTCGTGTGCCCTCTACACCTCTAACAATGTTTAGAGGAGTTAGTTAAGCAGCAGCGAAGCGGTTTTGGGTAACGTGCAGCAACCGCGAGATGGATGAACATCTGCATGGCCAGCTGATCCGGGGTACCGGAGTATCTAAGACGTTGGGTTACAACTGTGAGGAGATCTATGTCGTATGATGCTCGCCAGCCATGATTGTCGGCCGAAGACCCATGCCCGAGCGGTGAACGATGAGTACCCTAGACTAAATGTCACAGGATCGAATGACTCGAGGATCGATTGCACTATCGATCAGTACAAGGCGCTTTTATACTTCCAGAGTACATCAGGTAACCAGGTTTATCTTATCCTAAGGAAATAGACCCTTCTAGAAGATAGAATCACCCTGCGTATAGCCACGCGAGGCTATTGGCTTTAAGGGATTACGGCAGGATTACGCTGGATAATGTGCCAGTACATCCCAAGCCTGGTCGGTGATATAATTATAATAGCAGGATCATCCAAAGGATAATGGAAGAATGGAGAATAGGAAACCAAATGAGATGAGATAAAAAGAAGAATGAAATAGGAAGGAGATAAGAATAGGACAAGTGGTGTAACGGGGTCGTACTCTCACACTTCCCCCCCTCAAAGCTGGGTGGTAGAAGTAACACTTTGCTTGACAAGGTAGTTATGCAGAGGACGATGGGCGTTACCCATGTCGGTTTCAGAGACCCAGCTGTCCTCAGAAGGATCATAACCCTTCCAACGGATGAGAAGCTCCACGGCGCCATTCCGACGACGGCGGTGTGCGAGCACGGACTCGACCTCGTACTCGGGTTCATTCTGGACGAGGACGGGCGGCGGCGGCGGCGGCTGGCGTCCCACGAAGATCGTGTTAGGATCCCGATAGGGCTTCAGAAGTTGGACATGGAAGGCGTTGTGAATCTTCCAGGTAGCTGGCAGGCGTAAGCGGAAGGTAACAGGAGTGACTTGTGCTTCAACGAGAAAAGGCCCGCAGAAGCGAGGTCGAAGTTTAGATGGGAGGTGGCTGATGTCCAGGTTGCGGGTGTCAAGAAGCACCTGGTCTCCCACCGCGATGGTGTGGTCGTTGCGATGGCGATCGGCCTGGCGCTTCTGTTGCTGTTGAATGTCAAGGAGGCGCTTATGGGTCCGATCCCAAAGTTGATGCATGGTTGTGATGAAATCATGTGCTGGTTGGACTGTAGCTGATGCTGTCGGTTTCTGTGGTGTGAGTGGGTGGCGTCCGTAGCAGAGGAAGAACGGCGTTTGTCCAGTAGCGGCATGTGTAGCATTGTTGTAAGCAAACTCGAGTACGGGCAGGTGCAAGTCCCATTTGGAGATGTCGTCCTTGCAGGCTGCTCGGAGGAGTTGCTCAACAATTTGGTTGAGGCGCTCGGTCTGTCCGTCTGTCTGCGGATGGTATGCGGATGACATGGCGAGTTTGGTGCCGAGCAGAGACATGAGTTCCTTCCAGAACTTGCTGGTGAACTTGGGGTCGCGGTCGGAAATGAGTGTGGTTGGGATGCCATGCTGTGAGATGATGTGACGAACGAAGAGCTGTGCTGTCTCCTCGGTGCGTGCCGTCGTGTGTGTCGGGATGAAGTGTCCCATTTTAGAGAACTTGTCAATGACGACAAGGATGGCGTCATGACTGCTGGTGGTAGGTGGTAACCCGGTGATGAAGTCGAGGCTGACCACTTGCCATGGCTGTTCTGGGACAGGAAGAGGCTGCAGTAGTCCCGCCTTTTTCTGCTTGCTGCTCTTCATCCGCTGACATGTATCACACGAGGTGACGAATTTCTGGACGTCGTCTGCCATATGGGGCCAGTAGTAGTGTTTGGCGATACCGGTGAGCGTCTTGTTGCTACCGAAGTGTCCGGCGTACAGGACGTCGTGGTATTCTTCGAGTAGTAACTGGCGCAAAGGAGGGTAATTGGGTACCCAGATTTTCGTTGATCCTTTCCGGTACGCGATGTCACTGTCCCACTGTAGCAGATGTCGCTTTTCGGCTAAGGGAATTTCGGGGTCGATGGCGTACCCGTGGGTGAAGAGTCCCTTGAGTAGTGGATTCATCCCTTCGACCTGAATCGCGGCAACGTGTGCAGGCCGGCTGAGAGCGTCTGCTTTGTTCTTGTGGCCGGGCTTGTACACGATGTCGTAGTGGAAGTGTGTCTCGAGGAAGTCAATCCACCGGACCTGCCGCCTGGAAAGGTTGGGTTGTGTCTTCAAATATTTCAGGCTGCAGTGGTCGGTGTAGACGGTTGTTCTTCGTCCTTCGAGATAGCATCTCCACGCTTTGAAGGCGATGATGATAGCCAGGGCCTCTTTGTCGTGTATTGGGTAGTTTAGTTCTGCCCCGTGCAGTTTCTTGCTGAGGTAGGCAATTGGTTGCAGTCCATTCCCTTGGTCTTGCATCAAGACTGCACCCACGGCCTGATCACTGGCGTCTGCTTCAATGACGTAGTCACGTTCGGGATCTGGCAAGATGAGCACCGGTGCGGATGTTAGTGCTTGTTTCAGCTGCTCCACGGCTTCCTGGTGCTTCATCTCCCATTTGTAGGGCGTGTTCTTCTTCAGCAGATTCGTGAGTGGTGCCGCGAGTTTCGCATACTGTGGCACGAACCTGTTGTAGTAATTAGCGAAGCCTAGGAACTGCTGCAACTCCTTCACGTTCTCGGGCGTCTTCCACGTGCGTACGGCCTCGATTTTCTTGGGGTCGACGTGAACTCCTCGAGCGCTCACCATGTGTCCTAGGAACTGGACTTTTTCAAGGACGAATTCGCTCTTGGACAGTTTGACGTAAAAACGTTCCCGTCGAAGAATTTCGAAGACGCGTCGCAGGTGTTCGACGTGCTGCTTCATGTCGCGCGAGTAGATGAGTATGTCGTCCAGGTACACCACCACGCATTCGTCCAGAAGTGGTCGTAGAATGTGGTTCATTTCGGCTTGGAACGTTGCCGGCGCGTTGGTGAGTCCGAATGGCATGACCAAATACTCGTACGATCCGTACCGAGTTCGGAAAGCAGTTTTGTGGATAGAGTTGTCCGCCATCCGTATCTGCCAGTATCCGGACCGCAGATCTAGTTTGGAGAATACCGTAGCTCCCCGAAGCTGGTCAAGCAGGTCATCGATTCGCGGTATCGGATATTTTTTCTTGATGGTCTGCTTGTTAAGAGCTCGGTAGTCGATGCACATGCGCAGGCTTCCGTCCGGTTTCGGGGTGAAGAGTACTGGGGCACCGTATGGCGAAGTGGATGGCCGGATGAGTCCTTTGGCTAGGAGATACTCGATCTGCTTCTTCATGTCGGTCAGCTCCGTAGGGCTGAGCCGGTATGGTGCTCGGAAGGTCGGCTTCGATCCCGGTTCCTCCACGATCTCGTGTTGATGCGTTCGGTATGGCGGTAGCTCGTTCGGAAGATCGTCAGGAAGAATATCTTGGAATTCCTCCAGTAATTCCTTGATTTTTTCTGGAGTTTCCGAGGCTTCCTCTCCGTCATTCTCCACCTCTGTTGCTATCGCCAGGAACCCGGTGTCGGTCCGCTTCACATCCTTCTCGAATCGTGCGAGTGTCTCTACTGGGATATCTCCAGTATCGTCCCAGTTGGGTAGCTGTACTCTCCGTCCATTGTTGTAGATGCTTGCGGTGCGGTTCACCCAGTTGATCTCGGGGTTGAATCTTTTCAGGAAGTCTCGCCCGAAGATCAAGTCAAGCCCTTTGATGTTGGTGATGGGGAGTGCAGGTCTGCAGCGCAGTGGTCCGATTTGTAGATGTAGCACTGCTTCTTCGTGTACTGGTAACTTGCTGCCGTCCACCATCATTGCAGAGAATCCTGAAGGCTTGTACTCTTCCCGAAGTCGGTCGATCACTGCCTTGTCGCAGACGGTGTGTGATGCTCCGCTGTCCACGAGTGCTTGGAGGCGTCGTCCTTTGCAGATGACCTCGAGCACGAGGGGCAGTCATTGCTCGGAGTACCCAAAGATAGTTTCATTGATTGGGTCATAGGGTACATCCCAATATTCCGTACACACCTTTGTGTTGCTGTCTACTCCTGAGCTGGCAGCTGGCCAAGGCTGCTTGGAGAACGGCCCGGAGTTTCCTTGACGACTGTGCGCGTCACTGATGCCGAAGAACTGGATGCATCCGTAGGAGGAGTTCGGGGTTTGTGCAGCTTCTTGTAGACCCCCAGCTTCCTCTTGAGCTGCTTCAGCTCCACCGACGTCTTCCCTGGGGAGCGGGTAGTCGTTGTGGGCTGGTGTCGGGAGAGGACGTTGACTCCGTGGAAAGGTCGGCTTCTTTCCACACTCCTTAATTTGGTCCCCAGGTTGTCCGGTACCGGTATAATCTCCACAGCTGTCTGCTTCTTTTGGAGTCCCTCCCGAAATTTCTCCAAGGCTCTAGCCCCTCGAACATCATAAGTTTTCATTAAAGCATCTTTATAAGATAACTTTAATGAATTCTTATAATTTCTTGGGTCTTCAAGGAGTTTCCCTGTCTCGGCAGAGTCTTTTTTCGCGGAGTCGTATTTTTCCTCGGCGATTTTCTCTGGCGAAGACTGGTCGTGGGGTGGAGATTTTCCCCCATCATTTCCTCCTTCTCGCGTCGAATCAGCTTCGTCGAAGTTGGTTTTCCCGGAATCCCGCGGCCGCTTTCGGATCTTTTTCTTTTCGCCAGCTAGATCCGCAATCACTGGCGAC